AAAAACTTGAACTAATAGGCACACAGAAATGATTTCCCTACTTCTGGGCCTCCAGTGTTGTCAAGGGCACAGTGATCTGACATAGCTGATAAAGAATACATTTGGAGCTGGGGATTTAGCTCAGTGGTTCTGCCACCTGCCTTGCAAGCAGAAGGTCCCAAATTCAATCCCTGGTACCAAAAAAAAAAAAAAAAAAAAAAAAAAAAAAAAAAAAAAAAAAAAAGAAAAGAAAAAGAAAGAAAGATAAAGAAAAATGGGTTAAAACCCTTGATGGCTCACTAGAGGAGTCCCCTGCTGCCCTGAACAGGGTCCCAAGTCAGAAGGATGGGGGTAGAGTCACTGCACAAGCAGATAGGTTCCAGCGTGGGCTGAACACACAACCTCTCCAGGCAGCCGATTATCAGTGGAAGACACATACAGCCTGAACAGATCAACACTCCCACAAACACAGATCACCTCAGGGATGGAAGCATAAAGGACAAAAGTGAGTACAGAAATAGTTTCTGCCAGTGCTAAGTGCTGAGAAGATAAACAAGCAATGGTATAACAATGTGCTTGGGGCTGGGGATTTAACTCAGTGGTTCCACTGCCTGCCTTGCAAGCACAAGGGCTCGAGTTCGATCCCAGGTACCAAAAAAAAAAAAAAAGACAGAATGAGGGTGAGGCACAGTGGAGTGGAGGGAGAAATGAGCCCATGGAGAAGGCAATGTCCCCAGAGAAGTGATAATGACCCAGAAATGGAGCACTTTCCTTCCGATCTGAACAAGACTAAGTCCTCAGCTGATTCCCAATGTTCTGGTTTTTTTGTTTTGTTGAGACAGGGTATCACTATGTGATTGAGACTGAACTGGAACTCACTATGTAGCCCAGGTTGGTCTCGAACTCACAGCGATCCTCCTGCCTCAGATTCCCAAGTGCTGGGATTACAGGCGTGAAGCCACCACGCCCGGCCAATTCTCAATGTTCTGAATGCTTGGGAAATGCCTACCACAGTCATGTAGGTATTTGTATGTCCATGAGCTCAGGGTAGGGCCTCTTATAGCCCAGATCCCACATACCAAGTACCTCTATGAACAAGATGGGAAACTGGAAACTCTCCAATGAGAGAGATTGGGGTTTTACATAGAATCTTCCTGCAGTGGTGAGAATTCCTTCTATAAACATGGAGGCATCTTGGGGGTAGGACCCAAGTCCCCATGTTCCAGCCCACATCTTGAGCATCCTGCTTTCAACACTAGCTTCTTGGATATCTGAAGCTGTCAGGTCAGAGGTTCGGAGCCAAGAGAAGTAAGGTGGAGCCTACAGCAGGCCCATCCTCCTCTGGCTTTGCCTGCCTCTTTGGGATGAGGAACACAGCAGATCAAAGGCTGAACGGACAAGCAAGTATGAGAAGACAGGGGACACTGGTCCTCCTTGGGTGAGGCACCCTTCCCTGGATTTATCCAACACCATAGCATTGCAGAACTACCCAGACTTGGACATTGTCCTGTGGTTTCCGTCTCTCACACTTGGACTTCTTATGATCTCTTCTTTATTTGTTCCATCTCATTTTACAAAGAAGAAAGCCCCAGGTCTTTCAAGGTAAAACCTGGGCCATCTTTCACCAACTGGCCAGAAAGTAATCTAAATGTTTTGGAGGAAATGAGAATCACAAACAGGAAGTTCATACTACAGGTGCTCAAATCTCTTAATTATTCCTTTGGTTTTTGTTTTTCGGTTTTTTTTTAGGGTTTTTGAGACAGGGTCTTGCTATGTAGTTGAGACTGCCCTGGAACTCACTATGTAGCCCAGGCTGGTCTCAAACTCACAGCCATCCTCCTGCCTCAGCCTCCTGAGTGCTGGGATTACAGGCGTGCGCCACCACACTCGGCCTCCTTTGTAACTATGTGCAGAAATTGGGACTCACGTGATAGCCTAAGCAGAACAGAACCAGTTTACCCACGGTCAAATCTCTTCTGCTCCTTGTAATTCACTCTTGGAAAATTCATATCTGGATTTCTCATTCTCTGCTTTATAGGACATCTGAATATTAGAACGACTTTGGCCTTGTGTCTGTCATAACCTAATGTTTTGTTTTGTTTTGTTTTTTGTTTTCGGTACTGGGGATCGAACTCAGAACCTCGAACTTGCAAGGCAGGTACTTTGCCACTCCTAATGTACTTTTGAATTAGATAGGTACAGGTCCCAGGGAGGCAGATAAAACACAACCTTCTCAGTCTATCTATTCACAGCAGTGTGGCAGTAATAGGTTGAGTGCCACTCCTTTGGCCTGGCTCATCCTTCCCTGACAGCCACTCAGTTTGATTCTGTACTTCCTACAGGTCTTAACACAAACATCTTTTGCATAGAGCCACATCCAGGCTATAACAGCAAAATTTGGCCTTGTCCGTAACGAGGTATCATCACCGGATGCACCATGTAGAGTTGGCTGTTTGTTTATTTATTATGTTTGAATGTCACCTTTGGGGTTTTGTTTTGTTGGGCTGTCTTTCTTTTGTGATCAATGCTGTGTTCCCAACACCTGAACTAGTGTCTGGCATAGACTTTAATGTTATTTAACAGTGATAGTAACAACCAAGGCCCTTTTCTCAACAGCACTGGCAGTGTAACCTAATTCCCTACAAACAGCAGGCACGGGACATTCTTCCAGGTCTTGCCATAATACCCAGCCAGCCCCTCTCCCAGGGGACACTATGTTTGCTCCATCCCCAGCTCCCTTCATTTTTTTTTTTCCAGTACTAGAGATTGAACCTAGGGCCTCATGCATGCTAGGCATGCACCCTACCATTAAGCTACACTGTCCCCATCCTCAACCTAAAACTTAAAAAACAACAAACAAAAACCATGAATTCCATCTCCCAGCAGCCAGGGACTACTGAGGTCTGCAAATGCATGTCAATGACACCAGGCAGGGCTGCACAAATTTAACCTGGATAAGGTGTGTGGGTCTGCCCCCACCCCTACCACATGTTGACATCAATAGTCTTTGAGGAACTTTGGGGTCTTCATGGCTATCAGTGTGGTTGTTACATGCAAGTTCAATCATTGTAGCTTTTAGATGCCTGCATCCTAATCCCAGGGTCACCACTGAACTACTGCGTGAGCCTGGCCAAGCCACTGCAGCTCTCCATATCTCACTTCGTCACTCACTGGCCTCAGGGTGGGATTGACTTCCACCTCACAAGGGTGTTGTAAAACTTAAATAATTGCATGAAGCCCACGTAATAGGAACATGGGAAACATAAGCCATGATGCAGCTCTAAGTGGGGTCACCCTGAAAGGTTCTACCTACAATGGACAATCAAAAGAAGAATCCTGAAGGGCCGGGGATTTAGCTCAGTGGTTCTGCGTCCTGTCCTGCAAGCGCAAGGACCCGAGTTCAATCCCTGGTACCCAAAAATAAATAAATAAATAAATAAATAAATAAATAAGAAGAATCCTGAAGGGCTGGGGATTCAGCTCAGTGGTTCGGGTGCCTGCCTCCCAAGCACCAAGTCCCCAGTTCCATCTCCAGTACCCCTCCCCTATGAAACAATCCTGCCAAGAAGTAAGTAGTTACACAGCTGTCATCCCAGCACTTGGGAACCTGAAGCAGGATAGTGATTTTGATATCAGTCTGGATTACACAGTAAGACCTTAACTCAAAAACAAACAGGGCCAGGGACTTAGCGCCATGCCTGCCTTATAAGTGCAAGGTCCTGAGTTTGACCTCTGGTACTGAAACAAACAAACAAATCCCCACAAAAACAAACAAAAGACTCCTAAAAAGAATCTCAGAGTATTGGCAGCAAAAGCTGAGCGTGCCTAGTGCCCTTGTGGTAAAGGGGCACAAGTTGATTCACATTTGGACAGCCTGCTTCTCACAGATCACAGGGTCCACTTTGAGAAAGTGATTTCCGCTCAGATGCAGTGGCACAAGCCCATAATCCCTGCAATGGGGAGGCTGAGCCAGGAGGCTCTCTGGGAGTTCCAGGCCAGCCTGGGCTATATATAGCGAGCTCAAGGGCCATCTTAACTACATAGTGAGGCCCTCTCTCAAAATAAAAATAATAATACAATAAAAACTTAAAAGAGAGCATGATTTCTTCTAGAAGCCCGATACCAGCTGGGACCTGGTTGTCAGTCTCCTACCCTTCCTCTGTTCTAGAAGGTGACAGAATTAGTGATAGCATAAAATGTCCAAAGACAATTTCAATGTACACATAGGCATTGTGAAGCCCTGTGATGGAAAAGTCCCCTGCAGGAAGGACAGCTGAGAGGGGAGTGTGAAAAGGTTGCCCTATTCCCCTATTTGGTGAGGGCAGGCTGCTCTGAACAGCTATCTTCAAAACAAAAAGCACGTGGTTGAAAGAGGCCTTCAGTGAACCCCACAGCCCCTGGCCCTTCCTGGAAGTGCCTGGTGGACTTACCGAAGAGCAGCGGCTTGAGGCTGAGGGTTCGAATGACATGGTCCTTGCCGGTGACCAGCTGTACCTTGCGCTCGTAGCCCACCTGAGGGAAAGGCGCATGGCTGAGGACCTTAGTCGGGTGCGGCCGCGGGAGGCCCGGGGTGGGGGCAAGGCAGGGGATCCTCACCTTGATACCTTCCAGCCGGGTGAGGGGACCCAAGGTAGGGACGGCCAGAGGGCCCGGGGGGCGGCGCGGGGGTCCGGGCTCGGTGCTGTCATCGCCGTTGCTGTAGTGCACGAAGAGCAGCAGGGCCAGCACGTTGCCCAGGTACAGGTGCACAAACACCATCAGCACCAGGAAGTAGGCACGCGAGCAGATGCCGCGGGGCTTGCACAGCGGCTGCACCGTCTGGTCTTCGTCGTCTCCTGGCCTGGCCCCAACCGCTACACCGCGGGGTTCAGGGGGCGCCCACTGCAGACTAGCGGCCTCCGCCAGCTCCCCAGCT